CACGCCCTTTTAACAAATGTCAGCGCCCGTTATATCCGAACTTTGTTATAATACTTAATAGGAAGTTGAACCTACATATATGAAGCATTTCATTACAATTCAAATTCTTCATGTTAGTTGAAGCTCCAGAAATCCACTTTATTGAAAATAATTATCATAACTTATACGTCAAGTCTACCGCTAAATTACTGATTTATCTCCATTCTTCACGCTTATTGCTTCCTTAGATACAGATTTTCTAGGGTAGCTAGGTACTCGAGATATGATGGTTTACGAATCAAAGCGTTATCGAAGTTGTTTCCTGACAAATCTTTTGGAGACTAGAGCCTTTCTTCTGCTGACATCAAACTTAGACAATACTGTTTACAAATACAATGTATATATGAAGTTCATATATTTTGAACTGCGGTATTAGATACTTATGATGCACGATCCTCGCAGTAGAGAGCGCTATTTATGCAATAGCGAAAATCAGACCTAGAGCGCTGCCCTAGTATCGCAGAGGTCAGTGGTTCGAATCCCGTAGAGGCCTGATTTTTTTCAGGTCTGATTTTCGCTATTGCATAAATAGCGCTCTCTACTGCGAAGATCGTGCATCATACGTAACTGTTTACAAAGTTAGGTCTCAAAATTGTCACTTTTTTTGTGGCAAAAAATATTAATTTTAGGCAAAATTTTAGGCAAAAAATACTAATTTTACCTCTTTGTATTTAAAGAGGAAATTTCAGAAAAAAGGAAATCCCAGAAAGTTCTGTCCTCTCAAATTGCAAATATTTGTTTCAGTAAAAATTAGCATGCCGCACAATAGTCCACATCATGATGGATCAACTCAAGTTCTTCTTCATAGATTTTAACTAATGATTTTCCATTGTTGGCATTAGAGAAAAGGAAAAACATTTTAGGCAGAGGAGAATCGCCGAAGAAAGCTTGTTGAGGACCAACATTTGTCAAGGAAATTGATGTGAAAAATTTAACAAACATTACATTTCCTTGTTTACACGATATGGCGTATCATTTTGTCAAAGTAAACATGTCGAGGATGGGATATTGCCAATATACTTGTTTTCGACGACGAAATTTTTTTAAGGGAAAATGATGAGGGATTTTTTTTTAAGGTGAATATATGTAATTTCGTGTCAAGAACGTCTTTCATGGGGAACCTGCTTGGGTAAATGCAGTTACTGCCTGCTAAATTGTTTGCCCACAGAGTAGGAAAGATGCGCACGTGATTTTTTCCTTTCTTATCAAATATTTGTGCAGTGTCAAGCCATGTGTATTGAAATTGTTATTACTCTGAATGTCCACCAGGATAACAACTTAAGATCATCTCTCCATCATCATGGCTGGTGTGGCAGTGACAACCTTGCTCTCCATGCTCGTTATAATGAATATCGTTGGAAATTCTCTCGTCTGCGCGATTATAAGGAAACATCGAAATATGAGGTATCTAAATTTACTTTTAACACGCTCTTTCTGAAATTCCATTTCATATTTGTGTAATTTTGATGCAAAAATGTTTTGCCACGGTAGGATCAAATATTTCCTGAGCCTCTGAACCCGATAGGCATTTCCATTCGAGCACGAATCGAATTATTCATCAAATCTATTTCTAACCCACAATGCTCCAATCTTTCATCCGTGGAGTCACTTCCATCCAGTCGGTAAATTTTATAAGCAGTACACCTTTGGAAATCAGAGTGATTTGTTTGTCTTCTTGTCTTGGTAAATACAATAGGATTCCCATAAATTTTTTTATCTTCAACCTGGCCACAGCCGACATATTGTTCGCCTTGTTCATCACACCTAAACTGATCGTGAGCCTCTATGTAAAGCACCCAGACGGTCCAGCTGGTACAGTTCTTTGCAAGTTGTTAACGGGTGGAATCTTATCATGGGTGTCAGCAGTGTCCTCAGTTTGTACTCTGCTACG